AAAAAAAAAAAAAAATAGAAAAATTAGCCTACTGTTGTGGTGGGTACCTGTACTCATAGCTACTCAGGAGGCTGAGGCAGGAGGCTCACTTGAACCCATGAGTCTGAGGTTGCTCTGACATAGGCTAACAGCTCAGCACTTTAGGTGGGGCAACAGAGTAAGGCTCTGTCTCTTTAAAAAAAAAAAAAAAAAGCCCCTGGCGGCCTTAGTTTATGAAACTAGGTGTTTGGAATTATTTGGAAAGTCTTTACTCACCCAGACTTTTTTTCTCCCCTCTGGACAGTCTTAGTATGTTACCCTAGGTAGAGTGCTGTAGCATCACAGCTCACAGCAACCTCCAACTCTTGGCTTTAAGTGAGTCTCTTGCCTCAGCCTCCCAAGTAAGTTGGACTACTGGTGCCTACCACAATGCCTGGCTATTTTTTTGTTGCAGCTGTCATTGTTTAGCAGGTCCAGCCAGGGCCGAGTTCGCACCCACCACCATTGGTGTATGTGGCTGATGCTGTAACCAGTGTTATGGGTGCCAAGCTGCTCACCCAGACTTCTGAAGACAAAATGAAGTAAGGCCAAGTTGGTAATTCAGAAGGGCAGCTGGGGGAAAGGACACTCCTGATGCTTCCCCCCATCAGAAGAGTGATCTTGACTTTGGTCGGTTTTGTCTTAAGAAAGCCTGAAGCTGGCCCAATGCCCTGACAGGGAAAACATTTATAACAAAACACTAGGAAACAAGGCTAGTTTATTTTAGTGACTTGTGAGAGTGTATGTGCAAGTAGCTGGCAAGTCATTACCCCGCTCTGGGCTCTGACATCCAGCACACGTCTCACCGGGCAGAGGCTCCTCATGCTGAGGTGCTCACTGGATCAGAGGAGCACCCTCCAGCCCGCGAGGGAAACCCAGGCTGAGGAAGTGTCTTCAGATCCCAATTTCCACACAATGGCTCAGCAGATTCCACAAATGGTAAGAGAACTTTATTTTAATAAAAATGTCCTCCTGTTGATTTGGCCCTTTCCCCTACCACTAAAAAGCAGCTTTATCATTAGAATGCAATCCATTTATTTAGACATATTCTTCTTAGGCAACTCTAGCCTCTTCCAGCGTCGCAACACCACTCGGTACTTTTCATTTGCAGTCTTCTCTTCAGAGGCTTTTCTCAGGAGAATTCGCATCACCGTCTCTGTTCCTGCCTCTTTGTTCCCTTCAATGAGAAGATCCAGTGTATCTCCCACTTTCACCTGAAAATTAAAACAAATGGAGACATTACATTTTGGGAAGCCCAAGCCAATGCAAACATCCCTACTTTGCAGGTGATCCCGGGGGTGGCGGTGCATGTGACGCAGACCCAGAGTCCTCTGTAACTGTCACCTTTCCCCCAGTGCCGTGGCATGAAGAACCTCACTAGGAGGGGCCTAAACACAGGGGAGCAATACTAGCAGTGTCCTTCCTTCAGACCTAGGTAACTATCTTTTGCCTGTGTTGCCATGTGTCCTTAGTCACCCAATAGATGTCACACGCCAAAGGAAGTGGGGCACATTCTTAGGGTCTGCATACAGTAATCACTAACGTAGATGCACAGGGAAGACAATTTCCAGTATACGCTTTTCCTTCATTTCAACCCAGATGAGCTACAGAAATGGGATGAGCAATTCGCTGGAAATTAGGTAACTGTGGAGAAATGGAAGGAACTCCTTTCCCAGTGTTGGTGGCTCCAGTGATGCCACAACTCACAAGGATGGAATGCCACAGAAAAGAGGGCGGAGCTGGATACTGATTCAACAGGTTTAAAGGGCTGAGGTGAAACCCATTCTCTCTTAGAAGACAGCTTTGGATTGAGCTAGTGCAAAGCATGCCATAGGACACTTGTGTCCGCTCCCAGGCCCCAGGACCTGACCACAGCTAAGGATCTCAGGGTATCTGCTCAGAAACTTAAGAGGAGGGCTAACTAGACTCCATTACTGCATTCTGCTGCTTCTACAGCACAGCCATGGTGTGGGGTTATCTCAGCAACCAACACAGGGTGGGCACAACTCCAAGAGCGGGCACACTAACTAAAGGGCTTCTCTTTAAGGAACATGGTGTCGGGGTGGCACCTGTGGCTCAGTGAATAGGGCGCCGGCCCCATGTGCCAGAGGTGGTGGGTTCAGGCCCAGCCCTGGTCAAAAACTGCAATAAATTTAAAAAAAAAAAAAAAAAAAAAGCAACATGGTGTCAAATTCTGATTTCACCTTATTTTCCGGTTCAGTTTGTCAAAACATTTGATACCTCACCCGGACACATCCATATCTGTTCTCCGAATCACACAAGACCTCTGTAGGCCCAACGCTCAGCTAACATGGGTGTGCACACCTGCTTGCCATAGCACGGTGCTCACTGATCTGGGGAGCCCCAGGAGCTGGATGTCAAACTCCTGCAGGGGCATGTTTTAAACCATTAACTACCACCCTCTCTGGCCTGAGAAGCAGAAAGGCTCACAGCACATCTAGGTATCAAGACTGATTGATTCTACTCTTGGGTCTAAAGGATGGGCCCACACAGGCATTATTTGGGTGGGTTGTACTCTACTGTAGTTGTTGGGTTCTATTTAAAAAATGACCACCTTGGCCCATGTGTGGATTTAAAAAAAAAAAAAA